AGCAGTTTTTGTTCTTCGTTAAGTCGAGGTTTCTGCGTAAGCCAGCCCTAATGAGCTCCGCCCCTCCAACTACAATTTCTCCAAAGACAATGTCGGCGTACCTGGATGATCCGTACGACATTGGCGCGCGAATCGTGAGGGGCTCTTTCTGTTAATATGTATGAAATGGAGCAATGGCATATAATATGCATTCAATATATTCATTAATAACTGTTACAGAGAAAGTTATTCTGAAAACCCAAGGGGTGTGCATTGTTCCCTCTTGTCCACTGATCAAAGCACACTTCACTAGATTTGCCTGTCTAGTTTTAAAGTTATTAACCCATTCATGTATTGTCGACTGCACAATACCTTAGCAGCATTTATCAGTACAGTAGCTCGCTCAGTACTCCAGTCTTTTGTGGGAAAGCTGCTTCACGCACGTGCATGTGACTGCGAGTTTCTCATTATTTTGAGATAACTAAGTAAAAATTTTGAGATAGTTATTTCGAAATAACTATCTTGAAATTTCAGCTTAGTTATCTCGTTATATATATATTTTTTACCACTGTGGCGGAAACGGGCTTCCATACGTAAATCAACATTACATCACATCTAAAATGTCTGAATTTTTGCTACCCTTGCATGTTAATGTTGTGTATCTTAAATATTATTCCTAATTTGTTCATATTTGTGTTTAGTACAAACAATCAAGGTGATTGTCAATACATTATTTGCATTCTTATGAACTCCAAAAATATGGGACCAGGGGGCTGTTCCACGAAGAGAGCTAACCTCAAAACCCAGGCTTATTTCGACAATCCCGGCTTAATTTTTCCAAATTCGGTTCCACGAACGAGGCTAACCTGAAGCTCCGCTTAGTTACTATGTCAACATATGCTCTTGGACAAGCCTGCTCCATGGCAGGTTAGCTGTGAAGTTTAGCTTAGCTTGATGAATATGATTGGACAAGCCATGTGATGTCACAGCACGACATTCTGTGGGGCTGGGATTATTCTGCTGCTGTTCTCTCCCTCTCTCA